GGTGTGAACGCTTGTGTGTGTTTGTGTGTGCTTTGTTTTGTCTCTCTGTGTGGGTCCACACGCACACACCTGTGCCCGTAACTGGATAAATAATAAGCACACCTTTTTAAAAAATAGGGTTGAAGCCGAGCGCCAATTTCTCACAGATTTGGGTGGGATGAAACGCGTAAAGCATAGAAGCAAAACTGTCAGACAGCGTCATGTGTGAATGGGGACACTGAATGTTCTTGTAAGAAAATGCATATCTAAAAACAGCAGCAACAACAACAAAAGTCAGTTTACAGGGTTTTGTGAGTTTTTTAAATGCCTTATATTTAACAATCATAATTTATGACTAACTTGTAGATATTTGTGGATTCTTATTTAATTATTTTTATAGTTGGGTTGGATTTTTTTTTTCCTTTGGCATTTTTAATTATAATTTATTTATTTAGAAATGAGTACTAATTTTTTAATTGCTCCTCTATTACCTCATTCTATATATCTATATATATATATATCTATATATATCTATATAGATAGATATCGGCATAGTTTCTGGGAACTGAATGCTTTGCATGCGTTGGTACTTTCGAAGAACGATCAAACTGGTGGGGACACATTTTACCATTTCAAAAAGGAAACAAAAAAACTTATTCAGGGTGTGTGATGACAAACTGTGTTATTTGTGGTGCTGTTACCTTGGAGACATTCCATACAAACAACAAACAAACAAAAATAATGCAAACCTTTGATTCTGTATGCTGTGACATAGTGGAAATTTTGCAATATAGTGGCCGTGTTTTAGCATACACAAAGACACACACATTAAAAGCATATATATATATATATATATATATATATATATATATATATATATATATATATATATATATATATATAAATATTATTTGCACTCATCAAGTGGTGATGATCCACTCACTCAAAATCTTTTTTTTTTTTAAACCGAGGGGGGGAAAAAAACCCCGCAGTCCTCCAAACCAAATTGAAGGAAAGAGTCTCAGTTTGAAAAGCTTTGGAATAAATTGATCCCAAACCCTGTTCCTTCCTCTGAGGATTCGTTTAAAGACAAGGCTGGCCAGTAGTACAAAATTCACACGGAGCCATGGTGTGGTAATGCCGTAAAAGAGAAAAACTTAATGAACTGCACCAAGTTGACTGGTGCAAACTGTTTCCCAGGACTCTGGATGCGCCAAGGAAAATTTCAGAAAAAAAAAAGGTGTCCCTTGTACAAAGCATGAATCCAATCCCTTTTATTGAATTCAGCCTGTTGATGCTTTTCAAGGTGCTGCATCAGTCTGAGATGAAAGAAAAAAAAAAGTTGAGTCTGCTTTAAGTAACCCATTTATCAAAGTTAATACAATTCTTGAAGCAGCTACCGCTTTCATTGAATACAGCCTGTTGATGCTTTTCAGGGCGCTGCATCAGTCTGGGATGAAAGAAAAAAAAAGTTGAGTCTGCTTTAAGTAACCCATTTATCAAAGTTAATACAATTCTTGAAGCAGCTACCACTTCCCTCCCTCCAAGGCAGTGGTAGGATTCAGCCGGTTCGCACCACTTCGGCAGAACCGGTAGCTAATTTTTTGTTGCCCAGGCCCAGAATGGACTTCCGGAAGTGGCATCCATGCAGAGAACCGGTTGTTTACATATTTGAATCCCAGCACTGTCCCAGGGTTGCATGAAGGTTTGAGAACTTTAGCTTAATCTCTGGGAATGAATAGCCCAGATAGGTTCCTTGCGCTCATGTGAGGTCTGAAGGGCTTTTTCTAGTGATATTCAAAGGGTTCATAAGCCTACTGATTTCCCTTTGATGAGGCTGGATTTATCTCCCAACTCTTTCCCTGTACGGTGCAAAGGACTCGGGTGGAGTAACGTGTAAAAAGTTAGAGTTCCCCCATCTTGGGTCCCCATCAAGGATCTGCAGCTTTTTTTTTCAAAGCTAATACTCTACTCCAGCTGGCTCGCTGAGGATCACACGCCAACAGTGAGTAAAACTGTAAGACTTCCCCATTAGTGGAAGAATTACAGGCGCTTTAAAGAGTAAAATGGCTTCCTTTAAGTAACGGCATCTCTTTTGATCTGACTCTAATTTCTTGAAATTCCCGAAAGGGTGTGGGTAATCCTTCAAGTCATGCTTTCTTCATTGTTGATACGTTAAGAACTTTGGTCGCACAATCCATCAATTAAACAAAAGAAGGTGGTGTGTTACACACATCAAGCTTTGTCTGGAAAGCAGAAGTATCAGCATCTCCTACTGAGATTGCTACATGCTAGGAGAAAGAATGTCCAATTTCTTCCACTCTTAACTCATCTGCAACTCATCAAAACATTGTGCATGGAAGAGCCGGCATCTGACCAACTTTTAAGACTTGTGGACTTCAACTCCCAGAATTCCCTGTGAGAATGAGTTAAGAGTGGAGGAAGTTACTTAAGGAACCCATTTCACTCTCTAAACTGCCTGTAATTCTTCTCCTTAATGGGATACCATCATCTCTTGCTTACCATTATCATAAAGTCTACAGTTTCTAGCATCTTGTACTAGAGCACGCGTCTTCAAACTTGGCCCTTTTATGACTGGTGGACTTCAACTCCCAGAATTCTTCAGCCAGGTGCCTGGCTGAAAAATTCTGGGAATTGAAGTCCACCAGTCATAAAAGGGCCAAGTTTGAAGACCCCTGACACAACAATTGGTTTTTAGCCACCTGGAGTCACTTCGATGGGATGGATGGCCTTATAAATAAAAAATATAATTCTTTATCAATTCCTCATTCTTCCGAGGGATGCTGGGAACTTGAATTTAGCAACATCTGGAGTTTAGGAACCACTGGAGATTGTATGATACTCAATGCAAACTACTTTCATTGGCATTAGATCAGGGGTCTTCAAACGTGGCCTTTTTATGACTTCTGGGAGTTGAACTCCACAAGTCATAAAAGGGCCAAGTTTGAAGATCCCTGCCTTAGATCCATCTTTCTCAACTGTAGGATCTCCAAAGATGTTGGGCTTCAGTGGGCAAAAATTTGCAGCTATAGTTACTGGAGGTGGCAATGAATCAGAGAAATGGTTAATTGAAAAGGTTGGGGTTGTTGGTTTTTTTTTTTATCACCGCAGACATTTTCAGAGCTCGAATTGCACACAGTGAGATGGCAAGAATTTGTATTTTTCCAAAATGAAAATGTCTATCTCCTCTTTGAAGGCTTTTGTTTTATCCTGTAATGCACCACATTGACAGCTTAAAACTGAGTTGAAAAAAAGTTGAAAAGAAAGGGAACTAATGAGAGACGTGCAATGTCAAAGACAATTGAAGCTGACTAACCGATTCTCAAATATTTCTTTAACAAGTATCACCTCCAGCCAAGGGGACAGAAGTGGCATTACTTTTCTCCGTTACAGTCCCAATCTCCTCATTTCGCTTAATGGCAAAGTGAATGGATCATCCACTTTTTTTTTTTTTTGTACTCCTACTGCTGTTTTGTTGTGCTGTGCAACATTTTGCTACATAGACTATTTTATAGGCGAAAGCTAGAAATATTTATTATTCCTAATTAAAGCAATAGTGCATTTGGAGAAAATTAAAGAGACATTAGAAATTGTGTAAATGCTTAGATTCACTTTTGGTGGATTTTTTTGTACTTTATTTATAACTAATAAAATGAATTGCATTGCTAACTACTTCCTTGGGGTCCTTAATAGTACTGTGAACCAACGAATGGGTGGCTTGGCTGAGAAAAGATACTGACAGCAAGAGCACTTAGGCTTATAATATACCACACTGCTTCACACTGCTTCACAGCTCTCTGCAAGCGGTTTACAGAATCAGCCTATTGCCCACCAACAATCTGAATCCTCATGTTACCGACCTCGGAAGGACGGAAGGCTGAATCAACCTTGAACCCTGTCAGGATTGAACTCCAGGCTGTGGGCAGAGTTTGCCTGCAATACTGCATTCTAACCACTGCGCCTTCAGAGACGGAAGGAGGGAGGGAAGGAAGGAAGGAATAGAAATACCAATAACAATAGCACTTAGACTTGTATACTCCTCCATAGTGCTTTACAGCCCTCTCTAAGCGGTTTACAAAGTCAGCATATTTGCCCCCAACAATCTGGCTCCTCATTTTACCGACCTCAGAAGGACAGAAGGGTGAGTCAACCTTGAGCCAGTCAGGATCGAACTCCTGGCTGTGGGCAGAGTTAGCCTGCAATACTGCACTGTGTCACCACGGGTCTTTAATCCACAAGGGCAATTCGGAAATAAACCTCCGTTTGGTTATCAATGACAGACATTCACAGATGCAGAACTTTTAATATACACATTAGAAAACTGCAACATGACATGACTTTTTGACATAGTCACCATTCAAATTGAGGCCCTTGTCGTAACATCTTACAAGGTTTGAAATGCTTTCATAGTAGTCACTCTGCACCAAATCTGGGCTATGTGGGAGTGGTAGTGATCAAAAACATCCCAACAGAACCGCTTCAAAAGTTCTTGGGTGTGACTAATGGTAAAACATTGCTTTCACTGATGGCTTGATCGTTGGAAAGGCATTGGAATACAAAAACCATATATAAAGATAAGAACTGTATAAGATTTGGTTGTTTGGACTTTAAGATTGGCTGGTTTGATAAGGCTAAACACAAAAGACTATGGTATTGGTGAAAGACTACCTGGAGGAAAGAGACAGAATGGATATTGCATACCTATCTAAAAGTGACAGAAAACCACACCTAATATTCCCTTGTGAAGGACCTAGCCTGAAACATCAGAGATCCACAGGAGCAATACTCCAAGATGAGACAAATACTTTCCAAGAGGAAATGTGTGCAATGCTACAACAGATTCAGATGACAATAGCATCAAACCACAATGAGATTAAAAACCATTGATGACATAAATGAGCAAATCTTCAACCTAAACTTACTGTTGAAGGAAAAATCTTCATTGGGGTCCAGTCCAAGCCGGGAATAAACAACATGGCAACTGCTTTAGCAAGAGGGTTGCAGTTTATTGAAGAGGAGAGCCAGACAGAAAGATAGCTCTGGAAGAAAAGACCAAGCACATGTAGTAGGGAGTATGTTTTTATACCCTCTTGGGCTTTTGTTTGGAGTTGTTTCCTGTTCCTGTTTGAGGCGTTGTATTTCCTGTGTCATGTACTTTGACCTGAGTCTGAGTGTGCCCCTTTGGTATCTGTGGGTTAATCCTATTATGTCCTGTCTTAGAGTTTGGGTGGGGTATGTAGATTTTTAGGTGTCTTTGTCTTCTTAATTTTCCAGCTTCAACCTTCCTGAATGGATTATCACATTTGCATTTCTGCAGAGCTAGTTTCTGCTTAGGGGAGGGAGACTTGGAGCTATTAAGAAAACTGGGCATGCTTTTCTGCCTCTTTAAGATCCTTTGACGAAATATAATATTCTGCCCTTTTAATATTTCCTTCTCTGGGTGGTGGGGGGGCTGACTTCCCACATTACAATTAAAAAACTCTCAGAAAACGACGATAAAGAATGAACAAACTAACCAGATAACAGAACACAAAAGGGACTTAAATAGGGAAGGTACAAATGAACTACATCATAATACAAACAGGAAAAAAATCTACAAAATTTTGCCCCAACAATGAAAAGGGAAAAAGATGTCTTATCTGTCAGGACTTCAAAACAAACTTGAGGATGAGAAAAAAAGATTGAATAAAATGGATTATAGAGCTGCCAGGAGAATCGTTAGAGTTTGGGAGACAAAAAGCATACACCACATACACTCCCAACAATATTTACCAAAATACAGGAATCCCCTGGCAAGCGGACTATACTAACATGGTAGAGTTAGATTCAAGAGACCTGATTCAAATTACCAGATGGAGTACTACATGATTAAACACATGTTTGAATGTGGTTAAAAGAATAGATAATTTTGGATACAAAGCAGTTACAGTAGGAGGGATAAGAGAGATAAGTAATATAGTATTTTTTACAATATATGAAATGTAAAAATATTGGGATGATGCATCTGAACGAAAAGTTAGGACATTTAAAGGTAATTAAACTTGAGAGAAGTGTGACTAATAAGAACGGTTTGAATGCTGAGGGGAAATTAAATTGAGCCCAATATTTATGTTGTTATGTTCTTAAGTGAGTTTCCCCTCATTGTACGACTTTTCTTGCCAAAGTTGTGAAGTGAATGCTTCAGGTGTCAACCCGAAGGTGCTTTTTCAAGAGGCAATTGGACTTCCTTTGTTTTTTTTTTCCCTGAAGACATTTCGCTTCTCATCCAAGAAGCTTTTTTGATTCAGAACCACAATGTAAAAAAGAGGTTGAGACTCTAGAAAGAGTGCAGAGAAGAGCAACAAAGATGATTAGGGGACTGGAGGCTAAAACATATAAGGAATAGTTGCTGGAATTGGGCATGTCCAGTTTAACGAAGAGAAGGACGAGGGGGGACATGATAGCAGTCTTCCAGTATCTCAGGGGCTGCCATAAAGAAGAGGGAGTCAAGCTATTCTCCAAGGTTCCTGAAGGCAGGACAAGAAGCAACGGATGGAAACTAAGCAAGGAGAGAAGCAACCTAGAACTAAGGAGAAACTTCCTGACAGTCAGAACAATTAACCAGTGGAACAACTTTGCCTGCAGAAGCAGTAAATGCTCCAACACTGGAAGTTTTTAAGAAGAGACTGGACAGCCATTTGTCTGAAATGGTCTAGGCTTTCCTGCCTGAGCAGGGGGTTGGACTAGATGACCTCCAAGGACCTTCCAACTTTGTTGTTGTTGTTGTTGTTGTTGTTTAACTGAATCCGGCTTCCCCACTGGCTTCGCTTGCCAGAACTTTGCCAGAGATCATCCAAGACCTTGGGGGAGAGAATAGAATAAAATAGAAAATTATTGATGGAAGAGAAAGCTTAAGGCTTGAGAATAGAATGGAATGGAGCAGAACAGAACAAAACAGAGGTATTGATGGAAGAGAAGACTTAAGGCTTAAGAATGAATAGAATAACATATTTGGAAGGGACCTTGGCGGTCATCTAGTCCAACCCCTTGCTCAGGCAGGAAAGCCTAGACCATTTCAGACAAATGGCTAGTCCAGTCTCTTCATAAACACTTCCAGTGTTGGAGAATTCACCGCTTCTGGAGGCAGGCTGTTCCACTGATTAATTGTTCTCATTGTTAGGAAATTTCTCCTTGGTTCCAGGCTGCTTCTCTCCTTGATGAGTCTCCATCCGTTGCTTCTTGTCCTGCCTTCAGGGGCTTTGGAGTGTAGCTTGACTCCCTCTTCTTTGGGGCAGCCCCTGAGATACTGGAAGGCTGCTATCCTGTCCCCCCTCGTCCTTCTCTTCATTAAACTAGACATACCCAATTCCAGCAACCGTTCCTTATATGCTTTAGCCTCCAGTCCCCTGATCATCTTTGTTGCTCTTCTCTGCACTCTTTCTAGAGTCCCAACCTGTTTTTTACATTGTGGTTTTCTCTCTTATCTGATTGTTTCCTAGCCAGCATCTCCTCAGGTGAGAACAATAAACCAGTGGAATGACTTTCCTCCAGAAGTCGTGAATGCTCCAACACTGGAGGCTTTTGAGAAGAGATTGTCTGAAATGGTGTAAGATCTCCTGCTTGAGCAGGGGTGGAAGACCTCCAAGGTCCCTTCCAGTTACATTCTGATTGACTGATTGAAATCAGCCTTGGCAAATCCCTGTGGCAAACATTTAGGGTGAGTGTAAAATCTTGCCAGCAAATTCCAGAGGGATGAGCTTCCCCCACGTTGCCACAGAATCTGCCTTTGACTCAAAGAATTCAGCAAACAACGGTCTCTCGGCAGCCACTGGCGCCCCGCCCGAGCATTTGAGTCTGTGCTCTTGCCAAGAATGGGCTCGTTTAAAATGAATATATGTAAAACTTTTCCTGGGAAAAGTTGCAAGAGAACTTTATTACTTCTTGGCCCTTGTAGCAACGGGAATGAGTACGAGGGAGGGCTGGGAAGGCAGATTTTAATGCTGCAGGAATTGCAAATCTGCAAACATACCTTCGTAGCATCTCGCTAAACCTCCTGGTTGTGCCAAAGGTGCTTTTTTTTTTTCTCCAGGAGGCAACTGGACTTTTTTCTTTGGAGACGTTTCATCTCTCACTCAAGAAGATTCCTCAGCGTCTGGCTGTCCCCAACTCTGTCCGTTGGGTGGCTGTAAGGATCTTGAGACTTTCTGGGCCTGCAGAGACTCTAAAATATTCAGCAGGGCCAGATGTTGCCCCAAAGAAGAGGGAGTCAAGCTATTCTCCAAAGTGCCTGAAGGCAGGACAAGAAGCAACGGATGGAAACTGATCGAGGAGAGAAGCAACCTGGAACTAAGGAGAAACTTCCTGACAGTGAAAAGAATTAACCAGTGGAACAACCTGCCTCCAGAAGCTGTGAATGCTCCAACACTGGAGGTTTTTAAGAAGAGACTGGACAGCCATTTGTCTGAAGTGGTATAGGGTTTCCTGCCTGAGCAGGGGGTTGGACTAGATGACCTCCAAGCTTCCTTCCAACTTTATTATTATTATTATTATTATTATTATTATTATTATTATTATTATTATTAATGAAGAGAAGGACGAGGGGGGACATGATAGCAGCCTTCCAGTATCTCAGGGGTTGCCCCAAAGAAGAGGGAGTCAAGCTATTCTCCAAAGCACCTGAAGGCAGGACAAGAAGCAACGGACGGAAACTCATCAAGGAGAGAAGCAACCTGACAGAACAATTAACCAGTGGAACTACCTGCCTCCAGAAGCGGTGAATGCTCCAACACTGGAAGTTTTTAAGAAGAGATTGGACAGCCATTTGTCCGAAATGGTGTAGGGTGTCCTGCCTGAGCAGGGGGTTGGACTAGATGACCTCCAGGGTTGGAGAATAGCTTGACTCCCTCTTCTTTGGGGCAGCCCCTGAGATATTGGAACACTTCTATCCTGTCCCCCCTCGTCCTTCTCTTCATTTGAGATAGATTGAGACAGATTCACATCAAACCCCGTGTTCTTTTGTTCTGAAATGGGTCCAATTTTTTCTTCCATGTGCTGGAAATGTAAATTGGCAATAAGGACCTATTACCATATGTGGTGGGAGTGCTCAAAAGTCCGTGACTTTTGGAATAAGATAAAAAAATGGCTGGAAGAAATATTAATGATAGAGGTAGAGTTAAAACCAGAACTTTTCTTATTAGGCATAATTACACAGAAATACGATAAAGGGCTATTTTACCTGATGCTACACATTCTCATGGCTGCTAGACTGGCGTATGCACAAAACTGGAGGAATAAAGAAATTCCAACAGAAGAGGAAGAGATTTTATATAAAATTTTATCGTGTGCTGATATGGATAGGCTCACAATGGAAATGAAGGACAAGACAGAGTCAGATTACTTTGAAATCTGGGACAAATTTTACTACTGGTGTGAATCAAGGAGGACTGTTTGGGTTTTAAGCTAGTGTTAAGATAGAAATATATATAATTGTATGTTAGTATATAGAGAAATAAATTAGATACTGTATTGTATAGAAAAATATGTATATATAGAGATTAAGAATTACATGTATGAAGAGGAACAAATTGTTAGAAATATTTATACTGGAATGTTACGTTATGTCCATTTTGGTTTTAACTGTATTATAAATAAAAAACTTTTTTTTAAAAAAAGAAACCATCAAGGAGAGAAGCAACCTGGAACTAAGGAGAAACTTCCTGACAGGTAGAACAATTAACCAGTGGAACAACCTGCCTCCAGAAGCGGTGAATGCTCCAACGCTGGAAGTTTTTGCTAATCTCCTCTGTATCGTTCCAATTTTAGTATATGTGCTGCCGAAGCGAGCACGAACACTGGAAGTTTTTAAGAAGAGACTGGACAGCCATTTGTCTGAAATGGTATAGGGTTTCCTGCCTGAGCAGGGGGTTGGACTAGATGACCTCCAAGATCCCTTCCAATTCTGTTATTCTGTCCTTCCTTCCCCTCCCCTTCTTCCCTCCCTCCCTCCCTCCCTGCCTTCCTTCCTCTCCCCTCCCTCCCTCCCCCCCTCCCTCCAACACTGGAAGTTTTTAAGAAGAGACTGGACAGCGATTTGTCTGAAATGGCATAGGGTGTCCTGCCTGAGCAAGGGGCTGGACTAGATGACCTCCAAGGTTTGGAGAATAGCTTGACTCCCTCTTCTTTGGGGCAGCCCTTGAGATATTGGAAGACTGCTATCCTGTCCCCCCTCGTCCTTCTCTTCATTTGAGATAGATTGAGACAGATTCACATCAAACCCCAAGTTGTTTTGTTCTGAAATTTAATTTGTCGAAGAAAGCTTTCCAGCCTAGAAACTTCCCCTGCCAGATGGAGCAAAAAGCATTTCGGAAAATTGCACCTTGTAAAGAGGCCGTTAACTTCTTGGAAACAGTTCCCTCCATGTTAACCGGTCCCCCTTTTTCTTATCCAACCACTTCCCGCAGGGGAAGTTGGTGGTGATGCCCGTGGCCGAGTTGGTGATCTCGACTCGCTCCACCAGCCACCCGGGGGACAGCCCGGTGCTGTCGTGCTCAATCCGAACTTTCTTCAGCTCTCCGAGTTCCAGGATTTCCAGGTAAAAGCGGTCGGTGCTACCCCGCTCAAACGGGTTGCGGAATCTCTGCTTTAAACGCCGCTGGCCCGAATCGCCGTTCGCTCCGAATAGGGTGACGTGGACCTTGGCGTCTGTGCCAGACCCTTTCTGGGAGCCCGTCACGACAATCACTTCGTATCGGACGGGCACCAAGCTCCGAGCTTTGCTGGCGAAGCTTTCGATCACCTTGGCACATTCGAACACCTTGTGGTCTCCCCTCTTCGCTCGGAGTGGGATTTTTGCATTGCATCGGAAAAAATACCTGCCGGAGGAAGACGAGAGAGCCCAGAATGGGAAAGGATTAAATTATAATAAATTAAAAAATGTTTGCAGCCGAGGGCTTGTTTTAATTTGGCGAGGAAGAACTGGCTTTCCCTAACGAGCATCGTGCCAGCTTTGCTAAATCCTTTCTGGCTGAATGCTTGTTACCCTTTTGTTTCAATTCCTTCTGGTGGCAAAACTCTGCATCAATTTTAGGCCCAGAAAAGCCGCTTAACTGGCTTCAAGATTTTCCCCCCACAACGCCTCTCCTTAATGACTGTCTATGGAGGTTCTCCATCGTCCAGGTCACAGTTATCCCAAAGATGCAACTAGACTTTCTTGCTTTTTCCTTTGAAGTCGTTTCGCTTCTCATCCAAGAAGCTTCTTCAGCTTCCCCACCGGGTGACCCTGAGGACACAGAAAAAACAGCGGTGGGATTCAGCTGGTTTGCACCGGTTCGGTAGAACCGGTAGCTAATTTTTTTCTTGCCCAGACCCAGAACGGACTTCCAGAAGCGGCATCCACACAGAGAACCGGTTGTTCACATATTTGAATCCCACCACTGAGACAAAGGCTCCAAGATCACCACAGATGGGGACTGCAGACAAGAAATTAGAAGACGTTTGCTCCTGGGGAGGAAAGCTATGGCAAATCTAGACAGCATCCTAAAAAGCAGAGACATCACCCTGCCAACAAAAGTGCGTATAGTCCAGTCCATGGTTTTCCCAGTTGCAATGTATGGCTGTGAAAGTTGGACCGTAAGAAAGGCTGAGCGCCAAAGAATGGAAGCCTTTGAACTCTGGTGCTGGAGAAGACTCCTGCGAGTCCCCTGGACTGCAAGGCGATCCAACTGGTCAGTCCTGGAGGAGATCAACACCAACTGCTCTTTAGAAGGCCAGATCCTGAAGTGGAAACTCAAGGACTTTGACCGCCTAATGAGAAGGAAGGACTCAGTGGAGAAGGGCCTAATGCTGGGAAAGAGGGAGGGCAAGAGAAGACGGGGACGACAGAGAAGGAGGTCGCTGGATGGAGTCCCTGAAGCAATAGACGTGAGCTTAAATGGACTCCAGAAGATGGTAGAGGACAGGAAGGCCTGGAGGAACGTTGTCCATGGGGTTGCAACAGCTCGGACACGACTTCGCAACTAACAACAACTGAGACAAACCTCCAAGTGGCTTCAACATCTCTCTAAAAGAATGCAAATGACCAGCTGTCTGCAAGGAGTATAAATCCTTCCACTCCCCACCATCCAGTCAGAGCTGAAGAAGCTGCCTAGGATGAGAAGCGAAACACCTTCAAAGAAAAAAAACAAAACACGGAAGTCCAGTCGCCTGGTGAATAAAACCACCTTTGGGACTCCTTAATGACTGCAACTTTTCTTCCACCCCTTTTTTCCACCCACCGCAATCTTTTTTAATCATTCTACAAAAGCTAGCATGCGATGTTTATTTATTTATTTATTTATTTATTTATTTATTTATTTATGAGACTTATATACTGCTTTAAGTGCAAGCACTCTCTAAGTGGTGTACACCAGTAAGCAATGTATATATATTTTTACATTGCCCCCAACAATCTGGGTCCTCATTTTACCTACCCCGGAAGGATGGAAGGCTGAGTCAACCTTGAGCCGGTGAGATCTGAACCGCTGACCAGCTGAACACAGTCAGCTAAAGTGGCCTGCAGTATTGCACTCTAACTGCTGTGCCACCTTGGCTGGAAAAGCGACATAATATTTTATCATGCGCCACTTAGGATTAATTAGGGTTTGGGGTCGGTTGCAAGAAACTGCTTTGATGGAGAGTTTCGCCCCAACTTTATGGCTGAACTGGACACACACATGTTGTGATTCCTCGCCAGCCAGTGGACCGGGCAGCTGAATCTGGGGAATCAGAGGAGTAGGAGGAGGGGCCTGGAGTGACCTCAGAGTCGGAGGAAGGCTCTGAGGAGCTCCAAGACTTACAGTCGGATGAGGAGCCTGGCCCCTCTACTCACACTCAGGCTGAGACACAGCTGTGCTGGGAGCCTGAGTTGGACAGTGATGAAGAACAGCTGGGACAAATCCTGGATACACGAAAGCGCAGGCAAGAGAAGCAAGTAGGACAGAGGAATGCAATGGCAAAGGAGAAGGCATTAGGCTTGGCTGTGTAATAAAAGGGAAGGTGCGGGAGGTGTGGTTGCTGAAGGCAACTGTTTGTGTTAAGGAATCAAGTTTCAGTGAACTGTGTTTTGTTTGCCTTGGACATTGACTCAGGTCTGTGAATATTAAAAGGGGATTGGTTTTTTCCTGCGATTCCAGCCTGCTTGTTGAAAGAGGGGTTCTCCTTAACAAGGACTCACGTAGGCTGGGACAGAACAACACTTTTATCCCCAAATCCATGTGAGTTTCCTGCTGCTTTGCTCCTTTGGATGTTTTGTAAATGGCAAATTGCACGGTGGAGTAACCCTTTCCCCACTTGAACCCAGCCCCAGGTAAATGTGTGAAGGGAGTCAGTTTACCACAGCGCCTTCACTACATTGCCTTCACCTCCTCTCCAAATCAACTCTGAGGCACCTCACCACCACAGCTGAGCCCACCGTTTCCCGTTGCTAAGTGAGACCGTTGTTAAGTGAGTTTTGCCCCATTTTACGACCTTCCTCGCCACGGTTGCTAAATGAATCACTGCAGCTATTAATTTAGTAACGGTTATGAAGGGAATCTGGCAAAAGGTGATAGCGTGACCCGTTCGGGACAGTGCAACCATCATAAAGACGAGTCAGTTGCCAAGCCTCTGGGTTTTGATCACGTGACCACGGGGGATGCTGCAACGGCTTCAAGGGTAAAAAACGGTGCTAAGTCCCTTTTTTCAGTGCCGTTGTGACTTTGAACAATCGCTAAGTGAATTGTTGCAAGCTGAGAACTGTCCATACAGCAGTCAGGACCACAAACCTTTGAGCACCACAAACCAAGATGCCTGTGGCTGATTGTCTATGGCAGGGTGGGGAACTTTAGCTCTTTTATGACTGGTGGACTTCAACTCCCAGAATACCTGAGCCAGCCACGCTGAGGGGAAAGGGAGAGGTTTCTAAGCTGAGCCATGGCTGAGCCACTGCCACGTTGTACACAATACCTGAGCGGGTGGGAGGGGAGTGCGATAAAACAGAATGTGAAAGGCAGGTACTAATGACCTTACTAGTGATGTGCTTATTACTAATGTCTAATGACTGTCTCCATTGTATTCAATGTACGGCTACCTCAAGGGAATGATAGCCCCTTTCTGAACTGTGGACTTCAACTCCCAGAATTCCTGAGCCAGCTGTGCTGAGGGGAAAGGGAGAGGTTTCCAAGCTGAGCCATGCTGGCTCAGGAATTCTGGGAGTTGAAGTCCACAAGTCATGAAGAGGCCATAGTTCCTCCATGCTGGCTCAGGAATTCTGGGAGTTGAAGTCCACCAGTCATAAAAGGGCCAAGTTTGAAGACCCCTGGCTTAAATATTTAAATATTTTTCCTCACGGTCACATGATCAAAATTCAGGCATTTGGGCAGGGGTAGGCAATCTTGGCTCTTTTATATGATTTGTGGACTTCAACTCCCAGAATTCCTGAGCCAGCCATGCTGAGGGGAAAGGGAGAGGTTTCCATGCTGAGCCAGGCTGGCTTGGGAATTCTGGGAGTTGAAGTCCACGAGTCATAAAGAGGCCATAGTTCCCTCATGCTGGCTCAGGAATTCTGGGAGTTGAAGTCCACGAGTCATAAAGAGGCCATAGTTCCCTCATGCTGGCTCAGGAATTCTGGGAGTTGAAGTCCACGAATCATGAAAGGGCCAAAGTTTCCCTCATGCTGGCTCAGGAATTCTGGGAGTTGAAGTCCATGAGTCATAAAAGAGCCAAGGTTTCCTGGACCTACACTAAACTCTCCACAATTTCACCTTTCAATACCAAGAAGGCTATTTTTCCTCCCTTGCCTTTTCAAGTACTTGTCCATCATTGGCCTTTAGAATTTCTAAGTCATGTTGACGGTTTGGTGACACCTCAAAGCAAGGAAGTGTAGGCCAGGGTTCTCCAAACTTGGCTCTTTTATGGCTCCTGGACTTCAACTCCCAGGATTCCTGAGCCAGCCATGCTGAGGGGAAAGGGAGCGGTTTCCAAGCTGAGCCATGCTGGCTCAGGAATTCTGGGAGTTGAAGTCCACGAGTCATAAAAGAGCCAAGGTTCCCCACCCGTGGTCTATGATGTCCATGAGTCTTTTCATTATGAGGCACTTACTTGTTGCCAAGTTCCATCTCTGTAATGACAATTTCCTGAACATGCCAATATGTGTCTGCTTTTGCCTTCAGTCTTTTCCCATCTTTTGGACAGTGACCAACACAGATGGCGGCAATATCATCAACGTTTTTTGAAGAAAACTGGAACACATCTGCTGCTCCTCTGCAGATTGCGTCGTTTCCCCCCCCCCAACACAGACATAAAGCTTTAAGTATTAATGAGCAGACCAGCAATCACTAATTGCAACGTACGTGGTTGCAATATTAATACAACATACAATAGAGCCAGTTTTGCCTAGTGGTTAAGGCACCCTGCTGGAACTCGGCCTGGGAGTTCTACTCCTGCCTTAGGCATAAAAGCCTGCTGGGTGACTTTGGGCCAATCACCAGGAGACTGTGAGTTCTAGTCCCACCTGAGCCATGAAAGCCAGCTTTGAGCCAATCTCTCTCTCTCTCGTACATGCACACATACACACACACACATACTGTAAATACACACACACACACACACACAAATAAATAAATAAATATTTTTAAAGCTTAGGAACTGTCTAGCACAAATTTATATAGCGGTAGATCTTTAAATCATCCCTAGAATGTTCTAGGAATGACTTACCCACATATAATATTAATTTATTTCATGTTGGATGAAAACTATCTTTCCAATTTGTCTGAATGGTTTCCTGACTTATTTCTTAGTAAAAGGCATAAATATAATTGTGCCCACAAGCAAGCCAACATTCCTTAATGGATAGGTCACTGAGCTAATGTAGGTTTGCTGAACACCGACGAGAAACACTTTAATCAATTAATGAACATGTGTCGCGTTGCACATATAAACACCCCAATCCTTTTAACGGAGAAGAAAGGAATTCATTTACTGGGAGATTAGGGGATTAAGATACATCTGTTTAGGAAAGGCATTCCCTACTGTGGCCCACAATGCATGAATCTTATAACGACGTCTGGTTGTAAAGGCAGTGCTTATTTTTAAAATGAGCAATAGAGTCTGCCGATCAATGCGCTCATTAAGGGCAATCTTTTAAATCAGCCCAACGTTTGCTGATTATAATCATTCCATTTTTATAATGAATGAACAGTTCAGGTCATTATAATTATAATTATGATGTTATAATAACATACCTTAAAAATCTTCTCTTTCTGGAGGAGTTCTGCAAGAGGAACTCCTTAGAACGCCCTCGTTTGCCTTCAAAAATGATCCACACGTTTTCCTTGCTCTCGGCCTCCGGCTTATTGCTGGTAATGGTGAGGATCTCATAAGCTTGAAAGTTCAGAGAGAGCACAAAGTTAAAGCCAAGCATCCTGGTTTAGCTTTTTTCCAAGCCACGGTTCCTAGTTCAGGAGCATCTTGATGATCCAAGACCAGGAGACCAAGACATTTATTTATTTATTTATTTATTTATTTATGAGATTTATATACCGCTTTAAGTGCAAGCACTCTCTAAGCGGTGTACACCAGTAAGCAATGTATGTATCTCCCATATTTGGGCTGACAGGGTGTACATTCAAGATAAAAATCTCCTCCCCCTGTCTCTCTCCTGATAGCTAACAGAGTGGGAGAGAACCTGTGGCTTAGAGGTTATAACAACTGCCTAACATGCAGATAAGCCCAGGTTCGAATCTCAGAAGAATAAGTCTGGCTGAAGAGAGTTAACGGAACTCGAAATAGCTATACCATTTCTCTCTTTATTCTTTGTTAGCAACCTAATATATATATATATATATATATATATATATATATATATATATATATATATAATTTTCGCAGGTGTTTGTATGTAGGTCTTTGGTTGTTCGGGTTTTCTCCCGCGTAAAATTGGAAGTGTCTTGGTGACGTTTCGACGAAGTCCCATTCGTCATCTTCAGGCTGGTGTTTTCAGCTTCGTGCTTCGAGCAGCAATGTGTGGTCTTAGCTGTTTCTTCCTTTTAACTGCCAGTGGGGGTATGAACTGATTGGGTGGGAGCTTGGCTGTGTTCTGATTGGGTGGAGGTGTGTTCTGATTGGCTAGGGGCTTGGCTGTGCTCTGATTGGCTGGGGGGTTGGCTGTGCTCTGATTGGCTGGGGGGTTGGTTGTGCTCTGATTGGCTGGGGGAGTGTTCTGTTTGGTTGTGCTCAGGTTAGTCTGAGTTGCAGAGGGGTTTAAGATTTTGGGCTGCCTTGTTATTTTTTGGCTTCGCGTTCATGGTCGTGCCTCCTCTTCATGGAGGGTGTCAGTTTGCTTCATGTATGGATTGGAGGGGTTTAAAGTGGCTAATGATGCAGCTGTGGTCTGGTTTCTGGTTTGTGGTCGTGCCTCATCATCGGTGTGGCTTTGGGTTTGTTTTTTGCGTGGATGTGTGGTGGTGACATCCTGTGTGGTTTTTGTGAGTGTGGGTCTGGTATCATTTTTTGTGTTAGGGAGTCGTTTGTCAATAAGGGCGGGTTTCCAAATGGCTGGTAGGCGGGAGGTATCATCTCGCTTGTTCATGCTGTGTGGGCGTTTTTCTATCTCGATGGCTTCTCTGATTATTCTGTTATTAAAATGTTCACTTTTGGCAATGGTTCTGGTATTTTTAAAGTCAATTTCATGTCCTGTGGCTTTAAGGTGTTGGACCAGGGAAGATGTTGGTTCCTCTTTTTTGACTGAGTTCTTATGTTCTTCAATGCGTGCACTTATTCTTCTGTGGTTTGTCCGATGTATGTGGTGGGACAAGTGGTGCATGGGATTTCGTATACTCCTTGATTTTCTAATTCAATTTTATCTTTGGGGTTTCTAAGGATGGTGGATATTTTTCTGTTTGTGCAGAATGCTGTTTTGATGTTGTGTTTATGGAGGATCTTACTGATTCTGTCTGTGGTGCCTTTTATGTATGGGAGGAGGGCTTTGCCGTTTTCTTGTTCTTTGTCTTGGATTTTAGTGGGGGTTTCTTTTTGGATTAGGTTTGTAATCTTATTTCTATGGAATCCATTGGATGTTAGTACATTGGTGAGAGTGTGTAGTTCGGGTTTTAGGTGTTGTTCGTCAGATAAGCGTTTTGTTCTGGAGATGAGTGTCTTGGCTACAGAGTTGATCTGTGCTGGGTGGTGGTGTGAGAGAGCGGGCAGATAGCGGTTTGTGTGTGTTTTCTTCTGGTAGATGGTGTGTCCTAGGGAGCCATTGGATTTCTTGTAGACTAAGACATCCAGGAAGGGGAGTTGGTTGTTAGTTTCTGTTTCCATGGTGAACTGTATTTTGGGGTGTAGGCTGTTGAGGTGTGTGAGGAAGTTGTCCAGTTTTTCTTTCCCATGTGGCCAGATTATGAAGGTGTCGTCTACGTAGCTGAGCCAGAGATACTGCACTCTAACTGCTGCGCCACATACGAAAAACGGCTGCGAGACTTGGATTTAGCTAGTCTAAAGAAAAGAAGAAATAGGGGGGACATGATAGCAGCCTTCCAGTATCTGAGGGGGTGCCACAAAGATGAGGAGAGGGTCACGTTATTCACCAAAGCGCCTGAAGGCAGGACAAGAAACAATGGTTGGAAACTGATCAAGGAGAGAAACAACCAGGAACTAAGGAGAAACTTCCTAATGGTGAGGACAATTAACCAGTGGAACAGCTGGCCACCAGAAATTGTGGGTGCTCCATCACTGGAGGTTTTTAAGAAGAGACTGGACATTCACCTGTCTGGGATGGTATAGGTTCTCCTGCTTAAGTGGGGGGCTGGACTAGAAGACCTCCAAGGTCCCTTCCAGCTCTATTCTATTCTATTCTATTCTATTCTATTCTATTCTATTCTATTCTATTCTACTCTATTCTATTCTATTCTATTCTATGGTCAGCCCCCCCCCCCAGAGAAGGAAATATTAAAAGGGCAGAATATATTTCCCTAGAGGATTTTAGAAGCAGAAACCAACCCCGCCCCCAAGTCTCTCTGTCCAAAGCAGAAACCAAGTCTGCAGAATTACAGATGTGTTAATCTTGTCAGAAAGACTGGATTCAGGAAACTGGGATTAGGAAGAAAGATCCCTAGAATCAACCCCAAAAATCTAAGAGTCATCAGCCCCAGCCCTATGGAAGCAGGATATGACCCTTGGGACATAATAGGATTAACCCACCACCATCAGAATACCAGAAAGGCACACTTAGACTCAGATCAAAGTTCATGCCACAGGAACAAGTCCAAACAAAAGGCTCAATAGGGTATAAAAACCCACTCCCTACATGTGCTCAGTCCTTTTTTTCCAGAGCCATCTTTCTGTCTGGCTCTCCTCTTCAATAAACTGCAACCTTCTTTCTAAAGCAGTCGCCATGTTGTTTATTCCCGGCTTGGACTGAACCATGATAAAGACTTTTCCTTCAACACTATTCTATTCTATTCTATTCTATTCTAGTCTAGTCTAGTCTAGTCTAGTTTTAAGAAGAGATTGGAGGGTCATTTGTCTGAAATTGTATAAGGTCTCCTGTTTGAGCAGAGGATTACACTTAAGGTCTTCCGAGAATCGTTCCAACTCTGTTATTGTGTTATTCTGCTTTGTACACACAAGAGTCCCAGTTTTGATCCAGGGGATTGGACTAGGGGACCTCCCCCCCCCCCAAAGTGAGAAAACCCGGGAGAACTATTCTATCAATCTGTGCTTCTAAGTGTAACCTAAGGGATCAGTAGTTACTCTCTGCTTACGACAGCTTCTTAACTTTCTTCCCCTATGATTCCCTGTTTAGTTACAGAAGGGCTGCACCGGTGCAGGATTGATAGTTAAAATGCTCAGCTTCAGCAGCTTGAGTCACCTTCACATTGCCAACAAAAGTGCGTATAGTCAAGGCCATGGTTTTCCCAGTTGCAATGTATGGCTGTGAAAGTTGGACCATAAGAAAGGCTGAGCGCAAAAGAATGGAGGCCTTTGAACTCTGGTGCTGGAGAAGACTCCTGCGAGTCCCTTGGACTGCAAGGCATTCAAACTGGTCAGTCCTAGAGGAGATCAACCCCGACTGCTCTTTAGAAGGCCAAATCCTGAAGTTGAAACTCAAATACTTTGGCCACCTAATGAGAAGGAAGCACTCACTGGAAAAGTGCCTAATGCTGGGAAAGATGGAGGGCAAGAGAAGAAGGGGACGACAGAGGATGAGGTGGCTGGATGGAGTCACTGGAGCAGTAGGTGTGAGCTTCAGTGGACTCCAGAAGATGGGAGAGGGCAGGAAGGCCTGGAGGAACATTGCCCCTGGGGTCACGATGGGTTGGACATGACTTCGCAACTAACAACAACAACATAACATTCTTGGTGGATAGGCCTAGATCAGTGGTTCTCAACCTGTGGGTTGGGACCCCATTTGGGGTCGAATGACCATTTCACGGGGGTCGCCAAACAACGCAGTCTGCCATTTTTTTCCCCTTTTCCTTAGCTATGCTACTCCCTTTTATTCTATTGGCTTTTGAAAGCCAATATAATAGACTCTCTTGAATAGAGTCTAATTCTATTGGCTTTCAAAAGCCAATAGGAATTGTCCAGGCTGTCTCTGCCCTGCTGAGCCCGCCAAAAGTCCCATACTGCAAACAATGCTGCACCAGTTGAGTAGTCCTCGACTTACGACCGGTTGAGTAGTCCTCGACTTACGACCAGTTGGGGGTCGCGGCATTAAAAAGGTTGAGAACCACTGCCCTAGATGGATGTCTAGATGCCTGATCTCCATGAATATATGAAATTTAGAGCTTTAAAACACATAGCATCGAATTAATCTATTGATCTGCTTTCACGAGATTTATTCAGTTGACTTTTCTGACTCTCTCAAAGTAAGATTAAGACAACTGTATTTTTTTTCCCTGTAGGCTTTCATAAGATTAGATTAGCTGACCGTGCACGGAAAAATGCTCTTTTTCAGTTTTTAGCACCGACGTCCAGAAGGCAGTGCTCTTGACATTTATGACAAGGAGAGTCAGTGTCACCGTCTCATTTATCCCATTTGTCCCCAGCGTGTCGGCTTAGAGAAGTGACAGGAATATGGCCTCAAAACTTTAACGTTGAAGGAGATGCTATAAGCTGAAAAAGCCATTTTTCGGTGATGTCTGATCTCGTTCCTCCCAGAATAATAGAATAAAAAGAGTTGGAAGGGACCTTAGAGGTCTTCTAGTCCAACCCCCTGCTCGGGCAGGAAACCCTATACCACTTCCGACAAATGGCTGTCCAATCTCTTCTTAAAAACTTCCAGTGTTGGAGCATTCACCGCTTCTGGTGGCAAGCTGTTCCACTGATTAATTGTCCTCACTGTTAGAAAGTTTCTCCTTAAATCCAGGTTGCTTCTTTCCTTGATTAGTTTCCATCCGTTGCTTCTTGTCCTGCTTTCTGGTGCTTTGGAAAATAAGTTGATCCCCTTCAAATGCTGGAATACTACTTCAAATACCGGAACACTGCTATCATGTCACCCCAATCCTTCTTTCATTAAACTAGACATACCCAATTCCAGCAACCGTTCCTTATATGCTTTAGCCTCCAGTCCCCTGATCCTCTTTGTTGCACTTCTCTGCACTCTTTCCAGAGTCTCAACATCTTTTTTACATCGTGGTGACCAAAACTGGATGCAGTATTCCAAGTGTGGCCTTAACAAGGCATTGTAAAATGGTATTAACACTTCTTGTGATCTTGATTCCATCCCTCTGTTCATGCAGCCTAGCACTGTGTTGGCCTTTTTGGCAGCTGCAGCACATGGCTGGCTCCTATTTAAGGGATCGTCCACTAGGACTCCGAGATCCCTCTCACACACGCTACTATTGAGCAAGGTACCATCTATACCAGGGGTGTCAAACTCGTGGCATCACGTGATGTGTTGTGACGTATTGTAACTTTTTCCCCATTGCTGGAGCTGGGGTGGGCGTGGCTTCCACGTGACACATCTGGCCCGCTGGACCGCAGTTTGACACCCCTGTTCTATACTGTACCTGTGTGTTTGGTTTTTCTTGCTTGTTGTTCTACTTACAGGTACGTTCTTTCAGTTCCAAAATGTCATTATTTGCACAAGCCAGTTCCCGTATAATCTGTCCATCAGCTTCGTCCTTTGCAAGCCAGCAGTCACACTGGAAACGGAAAATTTTGTCCACTAGAGCGTCTTCAATGTCAATATATTCCAGATGCCAGCCAGGTGCAATTCCTGTTAGAACAGAAAAACCTTATTGTTTGGAGGAATAGAATAGAATAGAATAGAATAGAATAGAATAGAATACAATACAATACAATACAATACAATGCAATGCAATACAATGCAATACAGGAATGTAGAATAGAATACAGGAATGTAGAATAATAGAATAGAATAGAATAGAATAGAATAGAATAGAATAGAATAGAATAGAATAGAATAGAATAGAATACAGGAATGTAGAAGAATAGAATAGAATAGAATAGAATAGAATAGAATAGAATAGAATAGAATAGAATAGAATAGAATAGAATACAGGAATGTAGAATAGAATAGAATAGAATAGAATAGAATAGAATAGATATTGGAATATAGAATAGAATAGAATAGAATAGAATAGAATAGAATAGAATAGAATAGAATAGAATAGAATAGAATAGATATTGGAATATAGAATAGAATAGAATAATAGAATAGAATAGAATAATAGAATAGAATAGAATAGAATAGAATAGAATAGAATAGAATAGAATAGAATAGAATAGAACAGAACAGAACAGAATAGAACAAAATAGAATATAGGAATGTAGAATAATAGAACAGAACAGAACAGAATAGAATAGAATACAGGAATGTAGAATAGAACAGAATAGAATAGAATAGATATTGGAATATAGAATAGAATAGAATAATAGAATGGAATGGAATGGAATGGAATGGAATGGATATTGGAATATAGAATAGAACGGAACGGAACAGAACAGAACAGAAAAAACAGAACAGAACAGAATAGAATAGAGCTGGAAGGGACCTTGGAGGTCTTCTAGTCCAGCCCTCCATCCTCCATGGATGGAGCAAAGATTTCTGATCATAGGGTGCCCGCTTTGTTTTTAAAACCTTTTTTGAGGGTTCCCCTCGAATTTTCAGACGTTGTCCCTTAAATTTAAGCATAACTCTTGACTTTACCTTTGTTGTCATGCCAGATCCGCACTTTGCAGAGATCGCCGAGACTGAAGATGTCAGGAAAATAGAAGACATCCAGCTGGTTCCTTTCAAATTTGTTGGACTTATGGGACTCCTTCAGAGCCAAGGTCCCGCTGTCCCCATGCTCTCCCCAAATGATCATGGACACGTTGGCGTCTGTTCCAGCACCTGCAGGAAAGCAGTGACAGAAGCGGCTATCCGAAGTGATCTATGGAGGTTCTCAATCAATCCAGGTCCTGGTTGTCCCAAAGATGCTTTTCTGAAAGGCAACTGGCCTTGGTTGTTTTTTCTTTGAAGATATTTCGCTTCCCATCCAAAAAGCTTCATCAGTTCTGACTGGGATGGGAATTGAAATCACTTGACCGTGAGCCAGCGGTATGCAGCAGCAGCCAAAAAAGATAACACAATCCTGAGTTGCATAAACAGAGACATAGAATCAAGATCACGCGAAGTATCAGTGCCGCTTTATAAAACCCTAGTGAGGCCACACCGGGACTACTGCAACCAATTTTGGTCACCTTATCGCAAAAAAGATGTTGAGAGTTTGGAAAAAGTTCAGAGAAGAGCAACTAAGATGATCCAAGGCCTGGAGGCTAAAACAGACAAAGAACAGCTGCAGGATTTGGGTTTGGCTAGTCTAGTGGTTCTCAACCTGTGGGTCGGGACCCCATTTGGGGTCGAACGACCATTTCACGGGGGTCACCAAACAATGCAGTCCGCCATTTTTTCCCCCTTTTTCTTAGCTGTGCTACTCCCTTTTATTCTATTGGCTTTTGAAAGCCAATAGAATAGACTCTCTTGAATAGAGTCTCATTCTATTGGCTTTCAAAAGCCAATAGGAATTGTCCAGGCTGTCTCTGCCCTGTTGAGCCTGCCAAAAGTTCCATTCTGCAAACGGTGCTGCACCAGTTGAGTAGTCCCCGACTTACAACCGGTTGGGGGTCATGGCGTTAAAAAGGTTGAGAACCACTGGGCTAGTCTAAAGAAAAGAAGAAATAGGGGTGACATGATAGCAAAGTTCCAGTATCTGAGGGGCTGCCACAAAGATGAGGAGGGGGTCAAATTATTCTCCAAAGCCCCTGAAGACAGGACAAGAAGCAATGGATGGAAACCGACCAAGGAGAGAAGCAACCTGGAATTAAGGAGAAACTTCCTGACAGGGAGGACAATCAACCAATGGAACAGCTGGCCACCAGAAGTCGTGGGCGCTCCATCCCTGGAGGTTTTTAAGAAGAGACTGGACAGAATAAAAAAGGGTGTTAAAATGGACATGGTGTCTTATAGTCAGCTAATCAGATGGGATGGTCAAAATTGGCAATTAAAATCACGGGAAGAGTTAGCACAAGAAAATAATACTTATTCTTGGTTCCAATATAGACAATTAGTAGATAGATGGAAGGTGGATTGTAAGGTGGGTTTTCTTAGAGAGGATGAAAATTTTATTAAGCAAGTGAAGGATCAAAGACAAACTCATATTAAGAGAATTTATGGGGTTCTAGTTGAATTGGATTCAGAAAAGGAATTAATTAAAGATTGTATGATTAAATGGGCGCAGAACTTTGGTGAACCAGTTCCATTGGATACCTGGGAAATTATTTGGGTGAGAAATGTCAAATTTACACAGGCACAGAACTTAAGGGAGAATTTTTATAAAATGTTCTATAGATGGCACCTTGACCCACAAAAAATGTCTCTCATGTACCCTGACTAACAGCCGAAATGTTGGAGATGTGGTTGCTTGGATGCTACTTATTACCACATTTGGTGGTCGTGTAGAGAGATAAAAGCCTTTTGGATTAAGATATGGTGGAATATTCAGAGAATTTTTAGAAGGAGGATAAAATTTACTCCACAATTATTTTTGTTAGGTATAACTATTGATTGTGATACAAAGGAGGTTATATTGATGTTAAATTTGATTACAGCCGCAAGGCTGTTGGTGGGACAATACTGGAAGAAGGAATCTTTGCCTACATTGCAGGAATGGTTTCTTAAAGTGTCTTATTTGGCGGAAATGGCAAAGATTTCGGCTTTTTTAAAGGAACAAACGCAAGAGATTTCTTGCTGTTTGGGATAAATGGATAAAATTTATACAATTTAAATTGGATATAAAAAATATCATATAGCTTTTTCATAACTTTTATTTTTATTTTTATATATATATATATATATATATATATATATATATATATATATATATATATATATATCTATATATATATGTTTTCTGAGGTTTTCGCGGGTGTTTGTATGTAGGTCTTTGGTTGTTCGGGTTTTCTCCCGCGTAAAATTGGAAGTGTCTTGGCGACGTTTCGACGAAGTCCCATTCGTCATCTTCAGGCTGGTGTTTTCAGCTTCGTGCTTCGAGCAGCAATGTGTGGTCTTAGCTGTTTCTTCCTTTTAACTGCCAGTGGGGGTATGAACTGATTGGGTGGGAGCTTGGCTGTGTTCTGATTGGGTGGAGGTGTGTTCTGAATGGTTAGGGGCTTGGCTGTGCTCTGATTGGCTGGGGGAGTGTTCTGTTTGGTTGTGCTCAGGTTAGTCTGAGTTGCAGAGGGGTTTAAGATTTTGGGCTGCCTTGCTATTTTTTGGCTTCGCGTTTGTGGTCGTGCCTCATTTTCATGGAGGGTGTCAGTTTGCTTCATGTATGGATTGGAGGGCTTTAAAGTGGCTAATGATGCAGCTCTGGTCTGGCTTCTGGTTTGTGGTCGTGCCTCATCATCGGTGTGGCTTTGGGTTTGCTTTTTGCGTGGATGTGTGGTGGTGACATCCTGTGTGGTTTTTGTGAGTGTGGGTCTGGTATCATTTTTTGTGTTAGGGAGTCGTTTGTCAATAAGGGCGGGTTTCCAAATGGCTGGTAGGCGGGAGGTATCATCTCGCTTGTTCATGCTGTGTGGGCGTTTTTCTATCTCGATGGCTTCTCTGATTATTCTGTTATTAAAATGTTCACTTTTGGCAATGGTTCTGGTATTTTTAAAGTCAATTTCATGTCCTGTGGCTTTAAGGTGTTGGACCAGGGAAGATGTTGGTTCCTCTTTTTTGACTGAGTTCTTATGTTCTTCAATGCGTGCACTTATTCTTCTGTTGGTTTGTCCGATGTATGTGGTGGGACAAGTGGTGCATGGGATTTCGTATACTCCTTGATTTTCTAATTCAATTTTATCTTTGGGGTTTCTAAGGATGGTGGATATTTTTCTGTTTGTGCAGAATGCTGTTTTGATGTTGTGTTTATGGAGGATCTTACTGATTCTGTCTGTGGTGCCTTTTATGTATGGGAGGAGGGCTTTGCCGTTTTCTTGTTCTTTGTCTTGGATTTTAGTGGGGGTTTCTTTTTGGATTAGGTTTGTAATCTTATTTCTATGGAATCCATTGGATGTTAGTACATTGGTGAGAGTGTGTAGTTCGGGTTTTAGGTGTTGTTCGTCAGCTAAGCGTTTTGTTCTGGAGATGAGTGTCTTGGCTACAGAGTTGATCTGTGCTGGGTGGTGGTGTGAGAGCGCGTGCAGATAGCGGTTTGTGTGTGTTTTCTTCTGGTAGATGGTGTGTCCTAGGGAGCCATTGGATTTCTTGTAGACTAAGACATCCAGGAAGGGAAGTTGGTTGTTAGCTTCTGTTTCAATGGTGAACTGTATTTTGGGGTGTAGGCTGTTGAGGTGTGTGAGGAAGTTGTCCAGTTTTTCTTTCCCATGTGGCCAGATTATGAAGGTGTCGTCTACGTATCTGAGCCAGAGTTTGGGTTTGTGATCCAGATTTTTATAGAGCTGGTTTCAAAGTGTTCCATGTAGAGTTGGCAATGACAGGTGAGAGGTGGTGATCCCATGCGGTGCTCTGGGTTTGTTGGTATTTTTGTCCATTTTATAGATGAAGTAGTTTTGGATAGGCAGTGGTTTGGTCAGATCTAAGATGTGTTTGGGGGGGTTATATTTGTTTTGAATAGCTGTCAAGGCTTCTTTGATAGGCACTTGGGTGAAGAGGGATATGACATCGAAGCTCACGAGTAGGTCGCTGGGCTGTAAGCTTTGTTTCTTTATGATCTCTATAAACTGGAATGAGTTTTTACGTGTGAGGTGATGGATTCTGCATAGGGCTGTAGTTGTTTGGCGAGAAATTTGGCTAGGTTTTGTAGAGGTGAGCCTATGGAGCTGACTATAGGTCTGAGTGGGGTTCCTTCTTTGTGTATCTTGGGGAGACCATAGAGTTTGGGCATCTGGATGATTTCTCTCTGGGAATGATTCTTTGCTGGATCTCTTAGCTAATGGGGGAGGCTTTTATCTTGGTTCTGGTGGTTTTTTCCAGGTAGGTGGTGGGATCTGTATTTAGGGGTTTGTATGTGGAGTCTTGGAGTAGGTTGGTTAATTTGGTTTGGTAGTCAGATGTGTTCATAACAACCGTGGCGTTGCACTTGTCTGCTGGTAGGATTATTATGCTGGTGTCT